TGAGGTAAATTTGCGACAGTATTCCAGGCAGAAATAGCAGCAATACATCACTTTGTAAAACAAAAGAGGTATTAATACATAAGGTACATAGAAAAACCATTGTTATATAATCAGATAGTCAAGCTATGTTAAAAACACTGTTCTATTCAGGTACACTCAAAGCTTGTACTGGACTATTTAGAAGCCTTAACATAGTTTGATGATCAAAACAGACTAACATTAGCCTGGACACTAGCCCGAGAACTACCAAGACATAATAGGAAAAATACTAAAGTACTAGTAGCCATATTAAGAGGACATTGTAGGCTAAACAAACATGTATAACATCTGCTTGGCAGAAGAGATTTTGTACTGATTCTGTCAAAGTAAGATTGAAAAACTGCAGACCACATATTATGCGAAAGTCTATAAAGAGTGAGATCCCTTAGAGTTGGAGAGGAAAACTCAAGGATAACTAGCTACGCTGGAGAACTACTTCCTTTGGAGTCTGCGTCTGCTACAAAAGACCAAACTAGATAAGGTACTCTAGCCAAAGACTAAAAGATTTCCACAATAGATCTGAAACGGTCGAGGTGGGGGAGGATACATGGCCCACACCCTCAACGAATTCTAATCTAATCTACATTGATGGGTCGTAACGTTGATATACACACAACCAAACTTATTTGGAATCACTGTGTATTTCTGAATAAACGTTTTGTAAGGAAAAAATTTGTTAACTAACTTTAAGATAATGCCTTTTGTTCTTAACAAACATGATAATAAAGAAGAAACGACTGCTGAGATTTATTATCTTGTGAATTTTGTGTTCAGAAGTAAAATCACGATCCTCCGGTAATTTTATTTTGGTCCAAAATAACATCAAAATGCCTTATATTGGACTAACAGATATGCATAGGGGTGAGAATTATTGCTCTCATTGAACAAGGAATGCCCCAGTGAGACGTAGCAGAGGTAGTAAGCGATACCCAGGGTGTTGTATCGAAAACATATAAAAGGTACTTGGAACTAGAAACTCTCAAGAACAGGCCCATACAAAGTAGTCAAAAACTCACAACTGAACAACAGTACCGTTTTGTGTGCCAATTTACTTGACGAAATCCCAGCGTTTCTCATCTAGAGCTACAACGACAACTTCTGGAAGCTACAGGTGTGAACGTTTCAATTGAAACTGTAAGAAAAAGACTTCGCGCACGAGGTTTGTACAGTAGGAAAGCGTTACAGGTCCCACCGTTATCTATGCAAAATAAAATTGATTGGCTAAATTGGTGCCTCCAACACAAAAACTGGACAATTGAGAATTGGCAAAATGTTCTTTTTTTATGAGACCAGAATTGGCCTAAGATCAGATGACTATCGAATTCGGGTTCTCAGAGCTCCAGGAAGATGAGCGAGACTCCACGCTGCCAGATATGTCCCAAGATATCAAAGAGGAACTGTAATGTTTTGGGCAGGTATTATGATGGAAGCAAAAACTCCATTGTTACTCTTCAAAAAACTTTAATTGGTCCGAGATATGTTGATTTAGTGCTAGAACCAATCGTAAGGCTTTGGAGAGCTGCAATTGGGGATAATTTTGTTTTTATGCACTATAATGCACCTCCCCATACCAGCCGAGTGGCTACAGAATATCTTGAAACAGAAGGTGTCACAGTTTTAGACTGGCCTGCATGTTCACCACACCTAAATCCTATCGAACACTTGTGGGGCCAGCTCAGAAAAAGGATTAGAGCTCGTCGAAGAAATGCAGGAAATGTCGTTCAGCTTATTGATGCAGCATTAGCAGAATGGGAAAACATACCCCAAGACAATGTTGATAATTTAATAAGAAGCATGCCAAGGCGAATAGAAGCTTGCATAAGGGTTAGAGGTGATAACACGGATTGTTAAAATTACCAATTTTCTTTCTGTTTTTGCTTTTCGGCTATTAAAAATTTAAATCTCATTTCGGTTCAGAAATCAAAAAAATACCATTGTGTGTATTTTGTCAACTAATTAATTATTTTTATTGCTATGTGGGTTATTTGTCATTAAAAGTGTTTGGTAAGAACAGAGTTTTATTCATAAACAAAAAATGTTCATACATCTCAAAAATTATGAAAAATAATAGATGATTCCATATAAGTTTGGTTGTGTGTTTTTTATATCTATTGACGCGATTAAGTCAAAGTTCTTTATTTCCTTATTTATAAGTGGGACATTATTAGGCACTTATCTCCCCCGCTTCTCTTGCTAATAATAACTTTGTACCTTACAACGGTAGCATTCGAGGCACTAAACAAAAGAGAGAGAGTACAATATCAAACAGAGTAGTAGGTAATTGCCATAAAAATCTTGTTACATTGGACTCATAAATCGATTTTTTCTGTCTTACGTCATCTACCCCGATTTGTTTAAAAAAATGTATATATTTTTTAAGTGTATAATGTATTGTATCTACATACCTATTATTATTCTTAGACTTTTTTAGAAATTATGAATGTACTAGGGTGATTCATTTCCGCAAAGTTTTTTTTTGTGCTCAAGCAAAATATTAATCTACATATAGAAAAAAAATCTCAGCAAGTTTGAGCTCTTAATATAAATTTTAAGTACTTACTATTTCAATTTATAGTTTTATCATTTAAAATGCATGTAAATTTTTTTTTTTTAATTTCTAATGCTTACCCACATTTTGCAATAATGCAGCAAATCGGTTTGATGGACCTTGTGTGGAATTTCAAGCCCTTCGAAATTGCTTCAGAGTTTTTTTTGTGTAACTCGCACTGGTTCACTAGTAGGAGTCGTCAAAGTAGTTTTTCAAATTTTTCTTCAATTTTTTCGAGAAAACCGCCAAAAGTAGGAAAAAAAGGGCTGACTCAACAAAAAGTTATTCGATCAATATTTAATGAATTTACAGCCATTTTTATACCTGAAATCGTAAGAAATTGATAAATACTAACTCATAATGTTATTTAGATTAATCTTTTCTATTATTACCATTATATTTCCCTATACTACGAACTTTTTTAAAATTATTATGATTTCTTACTCATAATGAATATAATTTCGAAGAGCGTGAAATTCCCCCACAAGGACCATCAAACCGATTTTCAATATTGTAAATAGTGGGTAAGCATTGGATATTTGAAAAAAAAAATATTTTTTACATGCATTTTAAATGGTAAAACTTTAAATTTAAATAGTAAGTACTTAAAATTGATATTAAGAGCTCAAACTTGGTGAGAATTTTTTTTCCTTATGTAGATTAATATTTTGCTTAAGCACCGAAAAAAAATTTTTTTTGCGGAAATGAATCACCTTAGTACATACTTATCTCAGTGACAAACTTGAAATAATTGCCGTGGTTACTAAGTACATGAGTACCAACATCTTAGCGGAGCACATACCTTTTTTAGAACAAGACTCAGTTTCTTTAAATAATGGCGGGTTCTGACGTGTCAGTTTCGCTAAAACAGTTTGACTGACAAATAATGAACGTGAGTACACATTTTTATTTTAGCTGAAAGTAGGTGATGATCATTTCTACTTTCAGTATCAATATCAATGAATCACTCAAATTGCCTTTGGAATGACAAATCAGAACCCCCCTTAAATCTAGAACTACACGTGACTATACGGAAATATAAACTCCTAAAATTAGCAATGCAATATGCACAAATCTTTGTAGTTTGAATTAAAGTATTTTGAGAATTATAACATTAATACTTTCAATCCACTATGCTTCTTATACTATTTACCTATTTTATCACGTTTCCCTTTTCTTATACGTACCTAATATTTCCTTTCTGGTATTCTCCTAATCTAATGAACGGATTAAATATATTATTAAAATTAATTGCAAATACAAATTTCAACAATATTTATACAGGGTGAATTCTAAGTTGATATTTTTTACCTGTGTATAGAAGTCATTAAAATAAACAACTTTTTTAAATAACTCTTCAAAAAACTCAAAAATAAGAATAATTTTCATCGAAAAATTAGGATTACATTCATGCGTTGTAAGAACCATTCATAAAAATTAAATTTGCGGGGGAAATGTTAAAGTTCAACGTGAAATGGATACAATTAATTTTCCCGTAGTTGTCCACCCAGACAACACACCAAATCCCAGAGATATCCACAGAATATATTTTGTGGATATCCAATATATCACAGATATCCAGTGGATCTAATATAGATATCCAAATGTCCTTCTATATCCAGGATATAGAAGATATTCTATGGATATCCAACAAAATATCTAATGGGTACCTTTAGTAGAGGTTCATAAGTAACCAATAGATATATCCTATAGATGTTTAACATATCCAGTGTACATCCATTATTTGATATATTCATGGATATAAAATAGATATCCACCATGGACTGGACATTCAGTGGATATTGGGATGTTCAGTAGATATCCAAAGGATTTGGTGTGCTGTATGGGCACACTTTTTTTTTATTTATTTAACCTGATATACAATCACCCGTGCACTTTTCCAACAAGTCCTCGACAACAATATTTGAAATGTTAAACGCACTTAATTTTCAATTTATCACACTGGGCAGATAAACACACTGCTGACTTACAAACTGAAATGAGGCCACTGAATTACAATATTCGTGATTCATATTCGTAAGAAAAATCGAAAAAACAGATAGATACAGACTTATTAATTCGTTTAATTTTTCATACAAAAGTTTATGCCCGGATTTAAATTTATTAATTCTTTGTTTCTCGTGTTTTTGTGTTTTTTAAAAAAGATGTTTATTTTAACGACTGTTACATACAGTTAAAAAAATTATCAACTTAGGATTCACCCTGTATATTATTAAGCACTTCATTGAAATTATTTAATAATTTTTACATCTTAACGATGTCTTTTAAAATAAATTTCAATGTTTATAAAATAGCAATTTGATTAAATCTTTTCTTTTTCACAAAAATATTTTTTCAATAATTCATTATTTTTTTGTTGTTTAAATTAACTACTACCTTTAACCTTTCTCAGGGATCAGCACCGGGAGCACCCCCATATACCCAACAACCTCACGGAGGAGCACCTTCCTATCCCCAGATTAATCCCAATAGCTTTGGTTACCCATCAAATATACCTATGCAAATGCCTCAACCAATGCAAATGCCCACCTATCCTCCAACCACCGGGGGCTATCCGCCTTCTGGCGGCGGATATCCACCTTCAGGTGGCGGATATCCACCATCCAGTGGAGGTTATCCCCAGTCATCGGGTGGAGGATTTCCGACATCCGGTGGAGGTTACCCGTCATCCGGTGGGGGTTATCCGCCATCCGGTGGGGGTTATCCGTCATCGGGTGGGGGATATGCACCTAATACATATCCTGGCACAGCTCCTGGTGCTCCTCCCAGTGGACACGGACATGGATATCAAGGACCACAAGGACCTTATGGAGGTGTATCTTATACACATCAAAGTACAGTAGGACATGCACCCAATAAACCAAAGGTATTGTATTTAAGGAATATTATGGGTTGCTGTTTGTGTTTGTAACAGTATTAGTTTTCGCTTGGAAGCAGGTGGTTTTGTTATGTGCAAATTGGAGATTACTCTAAAGTTAAAAGCTTAGAAGGAAAATTGAAAAGTATATAAAAATATAAGTCGAACGCAAAGGGAAAAACCATAAATTAAATTAAAAAAACATACTAGACATACACGTACGTATAGATATAAGTAAACTACTCTTTTCACAGTTTCGTAACACAGCTTGGTGAAAGTAGAAATAGCGAAAGTTTTGTATTAATTGTTACTCTAAGTAATTAATTTTAAGCGTAGTTACAATGATTCATTTTCCATGTTCCATGTTTTCATAAAATTACAATAAATCTTTCTTTATTTCTTTACAGAATTCCCTATTTATTTGTTTACTGATTTCTTGAATATTCTGTACTGTTTCTTAACCTTATTTGTTAAAAAGTCGTTTTGATCTGTGAAGAATCCTTATAAATGGGCAAAACGTTCATCTAAATGTAATTTTTATCTAGTTACTTACCTTTTAGTCAAAAAATTATCCACTGATAGACCATTTAGATCTTCGTCTACTCGGACTCCTTCCTACTGACGTTATATTGTCCCATTGATTTAAAACCACACACTTATTGTACAATATTAACTATCCTCTATTTTCTTATTTTTAAACTTACTGAAAATCTGAATTGAAAACTATATCATCACATCACTAAACACTATTTCTTGAGAAGTTTGTAATTGAAATCCCTGAAGAATCAGCTTCTACATCAGTTGTTTTTGCTTCAGGTCTGTACTACAATTCAAAGAGATGCATCAGTACTCATTTCTGATACCACACGTATGCTTCGCAACTGTCAAACAGCCTCTGGTGCAACTGTAAATTATTATTGGAAAAACGGGGTTCGACAACTTGATAATTTAAAAAATCGTATAAAACGTTGACTATATTTTTTATTTTTAAATTTGATGTGTAATATTTTTATTCAGGTACCAAATAAATTTATTTTTAATAATATGCATTATTTGTAATCCTGTAGTATAGTTAGTTTTTTAGCATAACTGAAGAATAATCATCTTTCACTGATTAATTTTATGAATATGCTTAGTAGTGGAAAATGAATTATGTAAAGGTATTATAATTTGGCACTTTTGATTTATTCTACCTACTTGTTTTATGGGAATAAAATCAAACTCCTTTTTAGGTAAATTAAGAAACGTATATTGAATAGAAAAATACAAGCAACTTGTAACCGCCAATACTTTAGTGGCAACCGACAACTTACTTTTCTAGACAGAATGACAGTGACAAGACTTTTGACAGTTCACTTACTTAGTAGGTTGTGCAGCAACATATTTAACAACTTGTACATAATGTATCAATTACCATTGCCCAGTCGAAACACAAAATTTGAAACAAATAATAAATTTGTGACTAGTGGAATGAAAAAAATATTATTTTTACAAGTTATGTACAAAAATCATACAAGTCGCATTAAATTAGATAAATACATTTTTGTATTTGTTACAAATACCATGTAAGCTGATGACTTATGTGGTTTTTTGCACAGACATTTAATCAGAGTCGGTTTTTTAATATTGGCATTTTAATTTATATTATCACCTTTTACAAACTTAATATTATCATCTTACATTTTAAAATAAGTTTTAATCAAAATTAATACTAGGTAAATTTCTGCTTCGATTTCCTTTCAAAACCAAAGAAAAAATTGTTCCCTTCAAAAACCACACGAGTCAATAACAATTTTTTTTTCTTTAACTTGCGTTTATTAGATCTTTCATTCTATTTATAATGGGTAATGGGTCTAATGATGCACAATGGGCCTAATGAGGCCTAATGAGGCCTAAGTTTCGTGGGGGTAACCCACCCTCCACACGTTACAGATACAGATTCATATAATCTAGTTACTTAAATATCTTATTAAAAAATATATATATTTTTTAACGAATTGTAATTTTTGTATAAAAAAGATTTTGTATCTACTAAAAATTTAATTTTTTGGTTTTGAAATGACTAATTCAATTATTAAATACATAAAGTCTTTGGCCGGAATATTACTCAACAAATAAACGAACTTATTTTTAGTTTCATTTTGAGTGAAAATTTATAGGTCATAGTAGAGTATAGGGAATACAAATGATTCGTATTACACTTAACCATATTCATTATAAGCATTATGTATCTATATTTAAATTTAGTATTGATGTATTTAATATTTACATATAGAAAACCGCCAGTTCATAGAATTGTTGATTGTTGCACAACAAATAATTCAAATATAGCAAAAACATACAGGAATTTCTAAAATTTACATTATATAGCTTAGGTATAGGTATTTTAAAAAAATAATTGACATTTACTGATAAACCTGATGATAACCAAAAACAGCTCACATTTCTTTAATATTTAGTATTTCAAAATAAATTTCAACTTCACTACTACTTTTAGTAGTAATAGTTCTAAAAAATGGTTATTGTACTGTGACGGCCCGCCCCCAGGCCCCCTCTTCTTTTGATTTGTTCTTCTTGTATTTTACTTTACTCTCTTTGAAATGTTATTTTTTTTCACAAGTTTTACTTTAAATTCTATACTTACTGTAATTTGGCCTTTTTCCTCTAGTAGTAGAAGTGATCGTCTAGTTAATTAATTGATATTTTATGTACCCACGTTGTGATAATGTTAATTAAGGTAAACCAGAATTCGATGCAAAGTTTGGTGCAAATTGATAAATAAAACATACAAATTCATATTTAAACTCTTATTTATTTTTCATACTTTAAATGTGATGCAATAATTAGCAAAGTATTTTACAATTGTTACTATTTACTGAGATCTCACTTGAGTCCCGTTCAAACGCAGACCATATTCATTTGCTATCAATATATATCCTATTTAGGTTGATGACCAACAGAGTTAACAAACAGCGTCAATTCGCCAGTTGATTAACTATAGTGTTGTTGTTTATATTCTGATTTAGGTTGATGACCCACGAAGTTAACGAACAGCGCCAATTCACCAGTTGATTAACTATTGAGTTGATGTTGATTTGATTCTATTGTAGATATATACAGGTTGCACCCTCTTAGGTAAATATTACGATGAGTATAGAGGTGTGACCAACGGAAGTAACAAACAGCGCCAATTCGCCAGTTGATTACCTTACTATGTTGATTTCACATATACTTTGTTTCAAACCTTGTAGAACGGGTTGCTTAGCGTATAGGTGTCCCCCCTTGAGTTAACGAACAGCGTATTCGCCAGTTGGTTAACTTACTATTAAATTTTACCATCTTGGTTTGTACAATTTATCCAAGATAGCACAACCCTGTATATTTCCAAAATATTGATCTTTATAATTTCTATTGATATGACTTAATACAACCCTGTATGTATTTTAATATTGATTATTATAATTTCTATTGAAATAACTTAATATAACCCTGTATATTTCTTAATATTGATTTTTATTATTTCTATTAAAATATTCCAAATTTCACCCATCCAAAACAGATGTTATCCTATCTTTCGGGGTGTATGACCTGAAGGCCATGTGGTTTATTGGTTAAATTGATAATATTTTACAGCAAATGTCAAGCCGCCCTTAAACGAAACCGGGGTGGTATCTCAAAGAAGGTTACTAAATCTTTTGACTCACCATTGAAAATACAGACATTAAATTATGTACTAATTTCATCTAGCGTCGTGGAAGGCGTCGATGTAGGTACGTCGCAGGGTTGGGCGTCGAGGCGTCCATCGTCGAGACGTCTAGCGTCGTGATGGAAGGGAAGGTATTTAATACGGTACTGTATTGGGACAGATATACGGTAGAATTAAGTAGGTGATGCGGGACGTGATATTATGAAGGAAATAATTATGGACGGCAAAGCGTCGGAAATAAGGCGTGGGACGTTGAGCGTCGAAATTAGTGTACGGTAGGAAATACTTAGATGGTGAGGAATGTGACAGCGTTCGAGACGTAGGGAGTAGGATGGCAGGAAGTTGAGCGTCGAGACGTTGACACCGTCGGGGATAGGAGGTATTGTAGGATAGACGTCGTTTAGGAGGAGCGTTTAGGAAAGGTACAGATTATATAACTGGGTACAGATAATAAAATGTATGCTTGCACATCAAATGATAAAAATTGAATGCCCTGAGCTCATTTTCGTCAGACTTTTTATACACAGTTTAATCGTTTCTGTGACGTCTCTATCGTTTTGTTTCTCATAGAAAAAACGAATGTAGGTGCAAAAGGGGGTGGGTTATTTATTACTTGCCTTGAAAGTTTTGTGTATCGAAATATTGTCGATATCGGTCTGAACATCGAAACTAGGAAAATAAGCGACTTAAGTGTTTTAATGATAATTACTTCGTAAACAGAAATACACTTTATGGTGTTTTCTTTCTCGAGGAACTCAGCCACGTGCATCTTTTACGGACGTGGTTATAGATATTATTTATTAGGTGTCGTAAATAAGATTTAATTATCTGGGAGATTTTTCGTTAAATGAAGCATTTTGAATTTAAAAGAATGTAATATTGTATTTAATAAATGGAATTAATAAATTATTAAGGTACCTGGGTGCGGTAGGTTACAGTACGTATCTATAATATTCCATAAAAAAAAGCTATTTAAAAGTAGGTTATAAATTAAAATAGGGCGAAGCTACCTATATTGTAAACAAATATTACGTGAATGTCTTTTGATTTTCAAATATTAAGTCTCTACCAAAGTGGCCAGTGAGCTCAAACATCGGCGATCAAAACATTTATTTTGTTTCTAATCTTTCATTTACTTGCAGAGAACCCCAACTGTCGTCCCAGCCAATCCCTTCAACCCCAATGATGACGCCCAAGTCCTAAGGAAAGCTATGAAAGGTTTCGGAACTGATGAAAAAGCCATCATAAATGTCCTAGCAAGAAGAACCAATCAACAAAGACTACAAATCGCAATTGCGTTTAAGACTTTATTCGGAAAGGTAGGGTTAATTTTTCATTCCATTTTGACTCGAGAAATATGTTTATTTGTGCAAATTCCCACTACCAAATCATATATATTGAGATATGTAACTTATGTTTGTAAATTCACCCTTTCTAAAATATAATACATTATAAACATTTGTCAAAGTTTATCAAACTCGTAAATTTCAATAAACGTTCTTACAACCGGCTATTACTCTGACTAATTTAAAGTTTATGTCATTCAGACAAATCACATTCTTAAGCTACATCAAGAGGTATAACTTCTCGCATTTAACTTTTTTAAGTCGTTATTAAACTGAAAATAAGAGTCATTACAGAATAATAGCTTGTCTGGTCATTTTTTGGAATTATGTAGTAATTATGTAGTAATTATGTAGTAATTATGTAGTAATTATGTAGTAATTATGTAGTAATTATGTAGTAATTATGTAGTAATTATGTAGTAATTATGTAGTAATTATGTAGTAATTATGTAGTAATTATGTAGTAATTATGTAGTAATTATGTAGTAATTATGTAGTAATTATGTAGTAATTATGTAGTAATTATGTAGTAATTATGTAGTAATTATGTAGTAATTATGTAGTAATTATGTAGTAATTATGTAGTAATTATGTAGTAATTATGTAGTAATTATGTAGTAATTATGTAGTAATTATGTAGTAATTATGTAGTAATTATGTAGTAATTATGTAGTAATTATGTAGTAATTATGTAGTAATTAGTAGTAAGTTCGATGAGTCGGTGTATTATTGTCTGAACTTCGATATAACATTTTTTATTGGACTTTTACTTATTAAGTACCTACTTGAAAATTTTGCTGCGCGAAAAATAAGTTGGCCATATTATGGTAAGCTATAAAAAACTATATTTTTCGCAAAAAAACTATAAAATTTTCGTCTGAAACGTTTTTTTATACAAGGCGGTATTTAACTGTAACATTTTAATTTGAACACCCGGTATATGTCGCTTTTGCTAATGATAGCTATTTTTTATAGGATTTGATTAAAGACCTCAAGAGTGAACTAACAGGCAATTTTGAAAACTTGGTAGTTGCAATGATGACGCCTCTTCCTGAATTTTATGCCAAAGAATTACATGATGCTATGAGCGGTATTGGTACCGAGGAAGATGTCCTTATAGAAGTTCTTTGTACAATGTCTAATCAAGAAATTATGGTTATTAGAGAAGCCTATCACAAACGTAAGTTAATATTTATTTTTCCTTATTATAATAAATGCTTGTAAATAATGCAATAATTATGTACTCTTAGTAACCAGGATAAATAGAATATCAAACAAATATTTTAGTAAAATTTAGTAGTTTAGTATTCAATTTATGTAAATACGCGGGATGAATTAATAACAACATACAATTTTAATATCAAATAATAAAATTGTGTTTTTAAAGACTTAATAATAATAGGAATTTAAAAATTTTAATATATATTTGTCCCTTTAGAATTTCATAAAAATATAGTGCTCACGTTGGGCGCCAAAAATGGAACCATATCTAATAGTTTCATTTCTAATGAATCAAGTTATCAGCACACTACATATTTTTTTATTTTAATTAGAACTCTGTTAGATCTTTGTCCTTTTTTATATAAAAAGAAAATAGAAATTCAATTGGCACATGTTTGTCGGCAACTCTCATTTAATAAGAATAAAGATAAAATTGTCTTTTAAAAACTATATAGTTATCATATTGTTTTTCTATTTTTAAATTGAACATTTTTTATTTCAAATAGGACATAATCCTGGTAAAAACAGTAAAAATTATCTTAAAAAACTTAACACTTTCACGCATTTATTTCAACTAATAATAATAATTATTCAAGTGTTTGTCGTGTTTTTATGGTACTAGTGTTTTCTTAGTGATCACTTCATTGTGTTCTGTTTCCAGTGTATTACAGGTCACTCGAAAGTGACTTAAAAGGAGACACAGGTGGTACATTCAAGCGCCTCATGGTTTCATTATGCAACGCCTGCAGGGATGAGAGTAACGTTGCTGATCCCCAAAGAGCCTTACAAGATGCTCAAGCCTTACTAAGAGCTGGTGAACTCAGGCTTGGAACTGATGAGTCTACTTTTAATATGGTTTTGTGTCAGAGAAACTACGCCCAGCTGCAAATGGTTTTCCAGGAGTACCAGAGACTCACAGGACATGATATTGAAAAGGCTATAAAGAATGAGTTCTCAGGAGATTCAGAAGATGCTCTATTGGCTATTGTTAGGTCTATAAAGAACCAAGCTGCTTTCTTTGCTAAGATGTTGAACAAAAGTATGAAAGGATTGGGAACAAATGATAGACAGTTGATCAGATTGGTTGTTACACGAGCTGAAATTGATATGCAGGAAGTTAAGAGAGAATATCAGGCCAAATATGGTGAAAGCCTAGCTGAGGCTATTAAGGTAAGTAATTTTCTTGAAAATACTCAGTTGAAAATATTTATAAATTATTTTTTTGCAGGGTGATTGTTCTGGTGACTACAAGAAGTGTTTGTTGGCTTTAATAGGCGAATCTTAAGTTAAACATGTATTTTTAGAATTACAATAATATTTAAAGATATCTATGAACGAATGTTCCACTACTTGTAGAATTGATAAATGTTTTGATAAAAGTCATGTTTTGCCAAAAGAAAAGTAAATGTTCTAGATATTTAAATTTAAATGTTCCATTATATGACAAAATTTTATTGATAAAATTATGTGTAAAAAATAATTCAGTGATATATACCTAGCTTATTTATTCCACTATGTTTGTCGAGAAGTATATGTTATTGTGTTTTGTTAATATATTTCCATAAAGATCTGATTTAGTATAAATGTTTAATTATTACGAACTTTATCTATGTTTGCTTTTTATACCAATTTCTATTTTTTTCTGAAAAGTTAAAGAGACTGTTTTAAATAGATCTTATTTTTACTGCTTGTTTATTTCATGCTGTTCAATTTTATTATTGTATAAATATTTTATCTTTTAATACGTGTTTTATTTATCCATAAATAATTTAATATTGATGTAAAGATTATAAAAAATAAAAATAGTCGTAAATTTTCAAGATTAACTACTGACATCGACATAATCATTCCCTTTCTTATGTCAATCAACTAGTTAAAAAACAAAAAACAGTAATTTTAAAATATCTACTTTAATATGTAGAATTTGGTGATTTTCTCATTAATCTCATATTTTGACCAAATTTATATTGGACTACCCCTGAAGTACCTACCCCTTTTCTAAAAAAAAAAGAATCAGAAATCTGACAACATGATAAAAAATACTTAAAAAAATAGTCTTTCTAATTGAAAATCTTGCTTTTTGGGGTCCGTTAATAAAATTTGATTTTTCTTTAAAAAAAGTTTCAACATTTTATCTCTCTTTAAATATTCTTAAAAAGTAATTTTAAATAACCGACTTTAAAATTCTACAGATGCCATCACCAGATCTGAACCAAATTTATATAGGACCACCCCATTTCTAACAATAAAAGATTAATTGAAATCGGATAAAGTGGTAAAGAATTATCGCTTAACATACAAAAAAAATATTCCGACGAATTGAGAACCTCCTCCTTTTTTTGAAGTCGATAAAACCCTTAGATAAAAGAGACCAGAGATAAGAAAGGTTAACGGAGTGGGGGAACTGGGCGACGACCCGAACTCTGTGACTAGCATCATAATGAACTATTAGATTTATTTAAAAGATGTTTAATGGAATTTTGTATTATGAAATAATATTAACGTAATTTTTTAATATCAAACAGATGCCGCGACATTTTATGTAAAGAGAAGACCTTTTATAGAATATTTCGTTAGCGTTTATTTACTACGGACTTTTCTGCAAGAGATTACAGTAAAATGTTGAAATAGAATATTGTTAATAGAGCAAGAAATAGTTGTCATTGTCTACGAGTATTATAAAAAAAGCATGTGCGCAGGCGAATACTGCAAATCAAACCTCATGAGTTGAACATTATATTTTTTCTACGGCTATTTCATAATATTAAAAATTAGTCAAAATAAGAAAATGCTGTTTTGTATTGTAACCTCAGAAAAAGGTATATTAAGGCTTCTTTCTTTAGAAATATTAATTATTATAGAGGATGAGTCACATAAAACTCTATAAATGGATATATCTGAAACCAGATAACATATTAAAATTTAAATCTATTAAAAGTCATTTGGTCGCTAGGGATGAGTGATTATTGAAATAAATTATCTATCATTGAAAATAATCGATTATTTTCGATCAATCGAGTATTTTCAAACAATATATTTTTTTGTCGTATTTCCTTTAAAATCGACTACTTGATTATCTTTGAAAAATCAAAAATAATCGATTAATTAAAAAGCCAATTAACCGATAAATCGATGTTTACAAATAATAATAAAAGAATTATCGATTATTTTAAATAATTGATTATTTTCAAAAAATCCATTTTTTTTTTTCGTCCATTGAAACAGATTATTCGACATTCTTTGAAAAATCTAAACTAATCGATTAATAAAAAATAATCGATTTTCAAAAAAAAAGCATATCGATTATTTTGAATAATGATTATTATCAATAATCTATTTTTATTGTATTTCCTTTAAAATAGATAATTCGATTATTTTTGAAATACCGGCAATAATCGAATATTCCAAAATAATCGCCCAATCGAAAATAACCAATTAATTAAGAAGCCGATTCTACGATAAATCGATTTTCCAAAAAATAACCGAATTATTGATTATTTTCTAATACCATGTTTTTTCGTCCATTGAAACAGATTATTCGATAATCTTTGAAAAATCGAAAATAATCAATGCATCTTCCTAAGTAGATACCCAGACCACACACATAGTCCAATGGATGTCCACTTTAGATCCATCTGAGGGCCAGAACGGCCATATCCGTAACGAAACCCTCAGGTACAAAAGTAAAGAGACCATCCATCAGCTCAATTAATGTTACAAATAAAAAAGTGCTTCAACTGGTGGCTGATCGATTAACGAAGAACGATAATACGAAAGATGATATACACACTGCATTTGGTAATTATATTGCAGCAGAATTAAGTAATATGACACCCTAAAGGCTACCTTTCATTAAAAAAATTATTAACGATGACATATTTGAAGGCCAAATGCGTTTCCCTTAATAAAACATCAGCTGTAATAACTCAGCCGTTGTCACAAGGTCGATTATAGTCCGTACAGCAGCAGCAGCAGCAGCAGCAGCAATGTCAATTTGTAATTTCATGGAATGTATAATGTGCTTCAACACTCGAATTAAGTCCGGTAGGAAGTTCAATGGCCAGTTATTTTTCGCAGTATTTTGATACATAACATGTTATACGACTACATATTTGTAAGCTATAATAAATAAAAAGATTTACTTGTTACTATCACACTTACCTTTATATAATCCTGCAGTACTGTTATTATTGCTTTACAGGTTTCGGGTGTTATAACGCTTAAACTAGGAGTTGATATGACAGTAGGAAATTTAAGACTTTGATATGAACTTCCAGTAGTTAACAATCTGATCTCATGTGCTTCTCTCATGTTGGTGTCTTGCTTTTTTATAATTGGTGTTATTAGAGAGATATTGCAAATTTTTATAACGCCAGCCACTAATAATGACATCGTAATTAAAGTCAAATAAATTCCATGCTATAATCAGACTTATTGCAAATCTGAAATTTTGACATTAGAATCCTTGTCCTTATACTTATTTCTAACTTCATTTTAATAACTTTACATTTTAGTTCATCTTTTTTGTTGTCTATAATAGTATACAATATTGAAAAGGCATTAGAAATTATAATTTTAGAAGGCTTAGATGACGATTATATTAAATATTTAATAAAACTTCTATCAGATACGAATGTCGGCGAGCGCACCCGAAAGCTATAAAATCGCCACATGGTCGCCACTAACTGCTGTACAATCTTTATTAAAGTCAGTTCTAGAATGTAAGTGATCTGCGCATGCTCAGATTACAAAATAAGAGCGGCACTAATAGTGACTGACCTTAAGTGAACTTGCAATAACTTACTAACTGTAGCAACTCTAGATATGCATTCTCACTCATTCTTAAATAGTTTGACGAATCAAATGGTTCAAAATGAAGTTCCTCTAATAAATTTAAATGCAACAGTGTATTTCTTTTCAGGAGTCAATTTTTACTCCATTTACTTCTCTTTTTCGTGGTTTTTTTATTGCTAAGCATAACGCGACCGCAATTAGAGTATCTTCATCCATCACTGAGTTGGACATGACAAATGACAACTGACAACTATACTGCTCGTCTAACAACATTTCCAAACTGAACTGACAACTGTACTAAAACTAAGACTGAACGGAGAACTGATCTGACCGTCTAAAAGTACCTTATTATAAAATTATAGAATGATATTGCGAACAACTTTTATTTCAACAATTTTCTTAAAAAATCGAATTTTACACTTTTTGTGAAATTTCTTGAATACGGACCATTTGAAGAAATTTATAGGGAATAATATTTTGAGCAACTTCTATTTGAAGAATTTTCTGTAGATAGAGAGTTCCTTGGTTTTGTTCTTCACTAGACTTGGTCTTATTTTCCCTAGAGCGTGTTGTGTCTGTTTGTTTGTGAGGTGTTTCATTTCATAGTTGATGTGTCTTAGTTCACATATCTTTAACGCTCTGTTTACTACGGCATTGATTACTGTGCGCTTCTGTTTTGGATGATGGTTGAATCTATACTGTAGGTCTTGTTTTCTGTATACTCTGTGGCCTAGTTCATTGTCTTCTCGGCTGACTAGCACATCTAGGAAAATAATTTGTCGGTTATCTTATATTTCCAAGGTGAACTGGAGCTTAGGATCAAAACTGTTCAAATGGTTTAGGAAATTCTGGAGGTCTTTTCTTCCGTGGCTCTAGATTACAAAAGTGTTATCTACATACCTTAGCCAATGCTTTGGTTGTTTTTCAGCATTGCGAATAGCTCTTTCATCAAATTTTTCTATGTTAAAATTGACCACAACTGGACTGAGTAGACTGCCCGTGGCGACTCCATCAATTTGTTCATAAAAGGTGTGTTACCACTGAAAATACGATGTTGTGAGCGAGTGTCGGAAAAGATTGATGAGCTCTGGAAAAAACTCCCCCATGTAGCTGTCTACTTCTTCGAGTGGCACATTTGTGAATAAAGAGATGATATCAAAGCTGACTAGGATGTCGTTAGGCTCTAAGCTGATGCTCCTAAAGTGTTCGATGAAGGGCGTAAAATCTCGCACGTAGGTTTTGTCTTGCCCACGTGTTCCAGATGTTTGTCCAGGTTGTAAGTTGGTAATCCTATGGCACCTCTGTATCTGTAACGTATGGAGGTGGGTTACCCCACGGCACTTAGGCCTCATTAGGTCCATTGTGCATCCTCCTAAGATGATAGGCACCTCCTAGCTCGTGAGCCAGCCTACAGATTTAATGTAGTTGACAACGTCGCCAAGAGGTACTTCTCTTATATCGGCCGATACTCGCCGAACACAAATCTTCTAATAAATGAGAGCGTCGAGCAATCGTAAAGGATATGCTCGATGGTCTCATCTTCCTGTTCGTACCCTCTGCAGAGTGCGGATTCTGGCCGCCCCATGATATGGAGATGCTTCCGTACTTGGCAATAACCAGTCTGAATGCCTGTGACTAGGCGCAGATTCTGTCTAGTCATAGTCAAGTATTTGTTTACTGCAGTGTTGTCAGGATAACTTAAGAGCTCCCTGGCAACTCTGCAGTTTCTTGTTTCATCCCATCGTTTCTTGAATTTCACAAGGGAATGTTCTTTAATTAAGTTTGTGACTACCGATTTTGTGAGGCCAATAGAAGGGCCAGGTCCAAAAAATTTTGGTTGGCTGCTTTCTTGGCTAGTGAATCAGCAAAACGGTTACCTTTCGACGTGGCGTGACCTTTGATCCATCTTAAGGTGACCACATTGTTGATGGATACTTCGGCCAAAG